TTCATACAGCTCCGTTTTCCTAGTGTGTTACTTAGAAATCTATAGACATAAAAACATCGCTTGTGGTTCGAGAACGTCTCGATCACAGGATCACACCATGATCTCACAGGATCGCACCGTGATCTCAGAGGATCGCACCGTGATCTCACAGGATCGCACCGTGATCTCACAGGATCGCACCGTGATCTCACAGGATCGCACCGTGATCTCACAGGATCGCACCGTGATCTCGCAGGATCACACCGTGATCTCGCAGGATCACACCGTGATCTCGCAGGATCACACCGTGATCTCGCAGGATCACACCGTGATCTCGCAGGATCACACCGTGATCTCGCAGGATCACACCGTGATCTCGCAGGATCACACCGTGATCTCGCAGGATCACACCGTGATCTCGCAGGATCACACCGTGATCTCACAGGATCACACCCTTTCCCGAAGGGAATATCATAGAAACTAGAAACAGAAACCATGCTTGGAGTGGACGGCTGCAGGGATCGAACCCATGCTGCCTCCCGCACGACGCACAACTCGTGCGGCACGAGACAGCGTCGATGTGGCTAGTGGCTAGCGCAAATCTGCATGTGACGTGCGGTGCGGACTGCGGAACTGCGGACCGCTCTAACCACTCGGCTATCCGTCGGTGTCACTGGCGTATGCAGGAAAAATCTCTATGGAGAATTAAGATTGTAGCCGCCTACCCTAAGAGGGGGGGGGGGCACCATGTAATGTATTTCATAAATCATAACAACTGTAGTTTCAGATGGAATTATAGGATCTCAGCGCGAGCTCTCGGAACTCGGAACTCTGCGGCTCGTGCTTCACACTGATTGACATGCATGTTCCGCATTCTCATTGAAGCTTACTTTTTCGACACTCGATGGGTGATTTCCAATACTGAATGACGTATCTTTCATTAAACAAGACGGAAACAGGAATCCTCGGTAGTTCGGTAAGAGGTTAGCGCGTTAGCGTTAGTTATGAAGGCTGCCTTCTTCTCGTGACCGGGCACCATGGGGACCCGGAAGTACCCCCAAGCGAGATCCATTGTCGAATAGAGCTGCCTCCCTCCGATGGCGTCCAGAATGTCATCTATGAGCGGTATTGGAAAATTCGTACGAAGACGTCGCTGCTCTCATTCAGCATCGCGAGGAGATCTTCCACGATTCTCCTCGGAACGTCATTGCCTACCGAGATGTCCTTCTCCTCTATCTTCGAAGCCGCCTTGACTTGACGCACCTGAGCCTCACTGTCCTCTCCCTGCACCATCTCCAATTTGAAAACCTCTGCTTCATCAATCATCTGACTCTTAGCCACAATCGATCCTTTCATGATTGTCCTATCTCTTCTCTCTCTGTTGTGAACCGGCATCTATACTTCTCCTTTTCCCACTCGACAAAGCATTCCGCCATCATTCGCCCTTTTGATGAGTAGTGTGCCATCCAAATTTTCCATTGGCTCAGCTCTGACAAGACTGATCGACCTCGCTGGTAGCTCAACGTTTTCGGGCATGGTGACCTTCATCCGGGATTGATTTGTCCTATCTTGCAGTACCTTGCCGGCAAACTGAACTCCTTCGGCAACGCTTCCGCCGTCAGAATCCACGCCGATCCCGCGTAGTATATTGTAACCACACCAGTGTCTAACAGATCCTTCCCGATAAGGACCACTCGACATCGCTTCCTTCGGCAAAATTGTCACCTTAACTCCTTCGTGTACAAGTCCGTCTGCTTCAAGCTCTACGATTGATTGTCCCACTGGCGTACATGAACCGCCGCCAATTCCTGCGACGAACTTGAGCGAACTCGGTGTCACGCTGAGTTTCAGCTTCCGAGCAGCCTCTTCGCTGACCACCGTAACTTCGGCTTCCTTGTCTACTCTTGCAGTCCAGGGATCCCCGTTGATGAGGACCCCCTTCGGCTGTTTGTTCACCGTTGGCTTCCCATCAGGGTGTTCTCCCTGCGACGTATCGATTTTCTTAATTTCTGCGCACTGATAGGCGTAACGACCAGGCTTGTTATATCTGTAACACGTGACACTCACCTTGGATTTAGTCGCCCACGACTTCTTTGGGTCCGTACTCGGTGGCGCCGCTCGTCCTGCAGCATCCGTTTTTGTTCCCGAAGGTCCCGGTGCACTCCGCCCTTGACTACTGCTCGTGTCTCCGCTTTCGATTGCTCTGACGAGCGACGGCTGCCCTCCGTTCCGACAATCGACTGCTTTATGACCGTCTTCTCGACACTTGTAGCAAGTGGTTCTTCTGTCGGACCCCTTCGATTCTTCGTTCCTGCTCGACGACATTGGCTTATTGTCTCGTCTATGCACTTGATAGCCATTGCGAAGACGGTTGAAATTCATAAAATCAGTGATATCTTGAACTAGCTCGGAAACATCATTGTGAGAGCGCCCCCTAATCTCGTTGACTATGAATCGATACTCTGATGACAAACCCTTCGGTATGTGGTCTTTCACTCCGTCCATCTCGAGATTGAGCTGAAGAGCCGAGTCTTCCGTCCGTCGAGCGAAGTCTTCCAATCCATGCGTTTTTCCCTGACGACACCGAAACAGTTGATCCATCAGCATTGATGTGGTCCGTTTCGGTACATATGCCTTTTTGAATTTCTCGATCCACGCATCGAAATCTTCGGCGTCTGCTCCATGATTTCTATGCCAGGTTCTAGCGGGTCCAGCCATCTTCGCCAGGACCACGCTCATAGCGAATTCGTTCGACCATTTACCGACCCGCTCTGCCAAAATCAATTGATTCAACCACGGCTCCGCTCTCAACCCCGAATTGCTTTGTGATCCGAGCTCATCGGCAGAGCTTGACTCTCGAGACCCATTCTGATCGCCGCTGCGATAATTTCTGCGACCTTCGCCAGATCTTGATCCTTCAAAGGCATTTTCCTGATGACTTCCTTGCTTTAAATGCTTTCGATCCGTCCTCGTGCTTCACACACGTCAGTCCTACCGATTACACCAATGATTGGTGTAATCATCCATCTTTGTAATCATCCGATGGTGACCAGTGACCAACCTCTCGTTGTCAATCAATCCCGAAATTGCCGCGAGTCGACCACTTCTGATGTGTGAAGCTTGTGCTGTCAGGGCTGACGTACGGATTGACAATACCGAACAACCGAGAGTCCCACCCACAAAGCTCCCACTCAGAGAGAGGAGCCCACTCCGAGGATGCTCGTGTTAGAAAATCACACGGGCGTCTTGTCGCATTCCAATCGGCGCACAGTGGGCCAAATGGCCGAATTAGGCGGACAAAAGTCGAGCTCGAAATTTGACACCCCACATAGCGTCGGAATCTCGTCGGAACATGGGAAGACGCGGGCAACAATCCTTTCCGACTCCGCTTCGATCAAAATGAAGTGGAGAGACAGCCAAAGTCGATGGGTCATACGATTCCAGAGGAGCTTGTTTCCGCGATTTTTCTCATTTGTGTTTTGTTGCTTCGAAAGAGTATCGACAAACATATCGGAATGGAAAAAGGAACACGCCGTGAGTTGAAGTTCTTCTTAAGTCCGCATTCAAGACGATTTGAGAGCGGACGATCGGTGTTTACGGTCTTAAATAGAGTGTTTCTTCGAAACCTAATTTCCATAGAATCAGGAGGAAGTAGATTATTCAATACGAGACATGCCCCCCGTGTCCCCTCCCTGAAATATTTTTTCTTTTCAAGTTCCGGCTCTAAACTTCCCAGAAAAGTTGTTGAGAGACCGCGCTTCGTAGCGCTTCTCGAGTTCTAATGCCCCAAACAGGGGGATCGTAAGACCTTCGAGACTAACTTGCTGTTTTCAGGAATCGAGATTTCTGTGCCGCGAGTTCAATTTTTCGATGTTTGGCGTCAGTGTCCGGATGACAACGGTCCAGATTCACTTATACGATGGATTTTTCCGCAATG